GGCACCTGAGGCTGCACGTTTTTTCTGTCCAGAGTCAGAAGCTTTTTCTCCCACTTATATGTTAATGAGTACACAATAACTCTCTATTTTTAACTTACTAATTGCATTTTCAGACTGTAATTGTATTTGTCCTTTGTATACATAAATACATAAACAAGTTCAAAATAAATTGTAAGGCTGATTAATTTTATGCATTTGAATTGGATGGGGTAAGAAGTCACAGTCCTTAAATACCTTCATTTTACAGAGAAATTGTTGGAAACCATGGGTAGTAGCAAAAGGCCACTAAGGTCTGATCTGAAGCTTTTATTTAGGGACAAAGTTCAGAGAAATCTAGCATAGGCAGGTGAAATCCGAAAGTTTAAAGCTCCATTTTACAAATGTAAACCAATAGTTAGGATTGTGGCTTTAACAATTAAGGACCAACAATCTGAGGACTACAGTTAAAGTTCTTTTGCTGCTGATTAGGATTTCTTGGTGGTGATTAGTGAGTATGAGAATGCAATCACATTTGTAGGGTTTAATCAGTCCGAAGATGGAGAAGTTAGTTATCCAAAGAGAAAGAAATTAAAACCTATAGTTCCTATTAGTTTTTTTTTAATGTTAATAAAAGATTAAGGATAAAAGGCTGGGAAGTCTGTGACAATGTATTTAACAACATGTAGAGTCTGTAAAATTTAATATTTTTTTCCTTTTATCAAATTCATAAATAAAGCTTTACAGGCCTCTCTAAGGGGGAAGAAAAGGCCACAATTCATTTATATATATATTTATTTATTTTCTGTACTGTTCACTATTCGTACCTGTGACCAATACACATATTTCATTTTCATACAATCACATGCTTATAGCCCTACCATGATTTTTACTTTCTCATATATGTAAATCTTCATCTTTTATAAATCTCAAATGTTTAAAACCCTCAATTCTGAATTTATACAATATTTCTAGTGCATATGTTCATTCTTTTTATAATACATACCAGTTACATTTCCTAATACTTAACACTTACAGCATTTCCCCCTAATAGAGCTCTTTGCAAAGTGTTAACTGTAACCTCACAACATTCCTGTGAGGTAGATAAGTCAATGTTATTCCCGGTTTACAAATATGGAAACAAAACTTGAGATTTGTTAAACTCCTTCAACAGTGGCAGTGTCTACTTTAGAGAAACCTGGAATGAAACTCTCTTTTGTC